GATGCATATTTATGAGGAAGTCAGTACTTCACACCTCATTATTTTTCTGCAGCTCTATTCTCATTAATAATAAGATCATTTTATATTTAACCAGAATGGTAAAATGAATAAACACAACAACAAACAAGCTATAAATGCACTTCTCTTTGCATCATAACTATTTATATTCCACAAATTAAGCATTAAACGATGTACATTATATATTTAAGCAATAAACAAGCCATATGCACTGTTCTGGAAACATTTTTTAGAATAAATACAACATGGTGCCTATTTAGACATGAAAAAATGTACTTTTCTTGTCAGCTCTTCAATCCTCGTGTCCTTTAACTGCACCAGACGCTCCAGCTTCTCTACTTTGGTCTGCAGGATCTGCACACAAAGATACAAAATATTGAAAATGTCCTTTAAAAAACACTCATTGTAAAAGGAGAAGTGTGAGTGTCGTAATTCAGCTTTTATATGCATCCAGATGTGGAAAAAACAAGAAGAAAAAGAAAATTTTCATATCCGGTGAGCTACGAGTGAGTCATGGACCACTGCTGACAGGGTGTGACACAACAGGAATTAGTGTTTATATCACATTTTCCCCTTGCAGAGCACAAAAAATGACAAAAATCAAAGTAGAGCAGGTACTTGAGTGAGATTTACCTTCACAATCTCCTGAAAATTCAGGATTGTTTGATCTTTTTCCAGGAGGAATTGCCGGAGAATCATAGGATCCTTGACTTTGTAACAAGACTCCACAACAAGATCCTGGTTCCTTTGCAACGGCAATAAAATGTTTTATTAAAATCTCAAACATCGTTAAACAATTTATTTATGTCAAAAATAAACCTAACATACATGGTTCTCTGTATATTCTCCTCATCAATTTTCATCTGTGCCAGCTGGGCCAGAATTCTTGTTTCAGCCAGATGAATATCTAGAAAAACAAACCAGAAAAAGAACTAAAGTGTGAAATCTCTCCAACTTTAGAAATGGCAAACATCAAAACGAACCAGTCTCCTCTGCTGTGGGCAGAACGAAGTTAAAGATCAGGATGACGATGATCAGGAACAGAAACAGACAAGTAAGAAAATCTGCAAAAGCTGCATTCAGCTCAGAACACATGATAAAAACAACAGTTGGGAATGGATAAAAGACCTGAACCCTGTCTCTGATAGTGGTCGGGGACAGACAGGAGGAAAGAACAGAGGGAGGTGTTTCAGAGAAGGATGAAGTGTGGGAAACAGATAAGAACATTTCACCAGCTCACACCCCTAAAGCGTCAGCATTCCTAATCAGTCCTGTTTGATGCCTTGGAGTCCATAATCTCAGGATAAGCAAGAAAAGTCCAAACACCAAAACAGTGAAACAGGATTCTGCTCATTTATGCTGATTTTGTGTTTAATAGATCATAAGAAAATTAGACATCACAACAAAATGTCTAAAGTTTGACATTTTTCTTTCAAAACTAAAACATATTTTGGGCCCCATCAGCAAAGATTTCTAAAAAAAACCTCAAACAGAAATTTCAAACACAATCATCACATTTTGTTTTCAGTCAGCAGTTTTACTTTATGAAATCCACTTGATCTCACCGACCTCATGTTAGTTTTGTGACTTCAACTAAATGTTTATTATTGTTCTGTGATGATCTCTGAGGTCAAGAGAAACTCTAAACACGGCACCGTGTAAATGAGATCATCAACATTTTTGATCAAAGAAAGAAAATCCATTTTCTGCTGCATTTCCTTTCAGCTGGATCGAGGATGGAAATAAAAAAATCAAGCTGACTTTTGTTTACAATAAAACCGAAGAGCAACTTCACCTTC